CAAAAAATAGCTGTCTGATTCCAAAACTGCTAATGTACATTGCATCTTCCTGCAGCTCCTTTCTGGAGGAAATAATTTTCTCCATTTTAATGCCTTCCCTTACATTATTTTGATCTCTAACAGATCTGCTTATTTTGAGTCAGTCTCTTCCCTCTTTTCCAAAGGGTCTCTAATAAATCTCACTTTCATTTATTATTTAGATGATAATGATGATGATGATGATAATGATGGTGACAGGGCCTTCCTATGTAATTCAGGCAGGCTTTGAACTCACTATGTAGTCCAGGCTGTCTTCAAACTCCTGGAAACCCTCCTTCCTCAGTCTCTCAAGGGCTGGAATTAGAGGTGTGCACCGTTATGCCCAGCTAGCCAAATATTATTTATAAATAACTACTTTGTACAGCACACTCCAAATATAATTCTCTGTTTTGAAAGTCAGATGTTGACAGACACTCATTTCAAGGGGAGAATCAAGATGTGGGCTTTAGGAAATGTTGGTCAAAGTGTCAGTACTTTCTATTGTAAGATGAATAAGTCCTGGCAAGCTAATGTACAGCATAATAAAGATAGTCAGTATACTTGAAATGTTCTGAGAGTAGATTTTGTATTCTTAACACTTTCAGTTAAGTACTTAAGATGACGGATATGCTAATTACTTTTATTATGACACCTACATCTTGTTACGTATATGAGAATACCGAATGTGCACCTTGAATATATACAATTTTATTTGTCAATTATACTTCAGTAAAGTTGGAGGAAAATAATACAGTGTTCAATTTTTTAAAAGACATACGGCTTTCTCAAGAAATCAACCAATAACAAATGCTAGAGGGACTGTGGGGGAAAAGGAACCCTTCCCCACTGTTGGTGGGAGTGTAGACTGGTGCAGCCACTGTGGAAATCAGTCTGGAGATTCCTCAGTAAACTAGGATTAGAGGTCCCATTCAACCCAGCTATTACCCTCCTGGGTATTTTTCCAGAAGAACTGGAAACATCATGCCAGAGCAATATATGTGCACACATGCATACAGCAGCCCAATTTGTAATAGCTACATCTTGGAAACAACACAAATGCCCATTAACTGAGGAATGGATAAAAAAAGTGTGGTATTTTTATACAACGGAGTATTAGTCAGCTATAAAGAAAGATACATTCGAGGCTTTTATAGGTAAATGGATGCAACTAGAGACCATACTCGTAAGTGAAATAAATCAGACTCACATGTGTAAACATCATATTGTCTCCCTAGTGTAAGAACCTGAACAAGTAAATAAAATCTGAAAGGTACAATAGATATTGTGAAGGAGAAAGAAACTGCTCAAAAGGAAAGGACAACTGGGATGAGGGAAAAGAGAAAAGAAAGAAAGAAGGAAGTGAAAAAAATACATATATATACACAAGATAGCTAGGATAATTGTACTACTGATTTCTATCGGTTTATTGAAAGAAACAGTTAATGTTTAATTGTTTGATCAATCTTACATGCCTATATCTGGTAATTTGAGCAACTACTTTGAAGATAATATGTAATACAATAAACATTGTTAATTTTTTATCACCTTGTTTTGAAATTCTGTATAGTTTTTATTGTTGTTTTGTTTATGTCTTTGTTTTTGTTATTTTGTTTTTGTTCTTTTCTTTTTAAAGTAAAAAAAGACATATGGCTTTCAAACTACAGACATTATACAAAAGACAAAAACTAAACTCAGATTTTTTTCACCATATTCTTAAGAAGCTTCCAGTGTGGGACTGCATAATTTTCTCTGTTCCATGCATGGGATTTCCAGTGTGTGTCCATATTCCACAAATAGGTCCCACCTAGACCATCTGTGACTTCCGTGAAGTTAATGAATTGGAAGCAGGGGTAGGATGGCAGGTGGTTCTACCAGGGTTAGGGACTAAATCAATCGTTAGCCCTAAAGTGCTTCTTTAGAGTAGCTTCATGTACTTTTGCAGTTTTGCACCCCTCCTGTCTCTTCTTGCATAAATAAATACCTGCTGATTCCCCAGGCACTAGTTTTTGTTTTAGGGGGTTTTTGTTGTTGTTTGTTTGTTTTACTGTTTATTTCTAGGGAATTTGATTTGCCTTTGGGTCACCTGTGACTTACCTAATTAGGCATCCTACATTTTCAAAAACAATATTCTGACTATTTTTTTGTCTTTTTGAGACAGGGTCTTGCTACGCAGTTCAGGTTGGCCTTGAGCTCACTTTGTAGCCCAGGCTGGTCTCAAACTCACAACAATTTTCCTGCCTCAGCCTCCCAAGTGCTGGAATTACAGGCATGAGCCACCACAACTATTTTGATAATTTTTACAGCTCGATGGCACTTAGGTTGAAGTACCCTCAACCCTAAGAGAAGCCCTACCATTGCTTTTTTCAGTTTCTTTTAGGTTTTTTTCCCCAGCATTTCTAAAATTTTCAAATATATGAAAAATAGAAAAGGTTATACAGAAAATATCCATACCTACTCCCTAGAATGTACAACCAATAGTCAGTGATACTCACTTTATACTAGATCTGTCTACTCATATTTATAACCATTCATAATTCCATCTTATTTTTGATGTCTTTTGAGGTAATTCGCAGACATTGGTAGATTTGATCTGTAAATACTTCCATATGCTTGTCATTAGCAAGAGTTCAATATTTGTTTATGTATTACTTTATGAAAAAAACTGCCTGCAGTGAAATGCATAGATCTGACATGTACCATTCTGGAAACTTTGATAAATGCATAGATGTATATATTTCAACCCTTATCAGGCTATGGGACAAGATGATCAGTTCAGATAGCGCTCTTGTGTTCTTTCCCAGGCAATCCCCACCCACTCAGAGGCAATCATTTGTTCTTTCACTTTTAATTATTTATGGAATGTTGTTTTCCAGATAGAAAGTAACTCAAGGTTTTCATATACAGTGCTGTTAGAATTTGGAGGCACAGCTCTCCTAAATAGGAGCCTTATAACTTCCCTCTCATCACAATTAACTCCACTAGTCCTTTCTCTGTTTTCTCCTCCACTGGCGAATGGTTGATCCATGTTTCTGTAACTTCCTGAACTTGTTGAATAAAGTTAATTTAAGACATGCATACAGTGCTTCTCCTGTTTGGCCTGTACAGCTTCTGCTTTTCAACCCAAGTTCTGTTTGGCTTTGGACATGGGCTCACTACGGGGTGCTGAGAGTGTACCCAGTACAGAAACAGCTCACAGCAGACAGACGCTAGAGATTTTTCTGCAGTCATTTACCAAGGGTTCTTGGCAGCATTTGGCATTGCCCATTGGACACGGGGTCTTGTGGAGTGACAGGGACACCTGCTGAGACTACAGTGCACAATGCTCAATTCAGGTCGCACCATTAGTCACATGGCACATGCTTCTGACTAAGCTGATTTTGTGTGTGTGTGACAGGATGCCACGCAGCGAACTGACCTTTTCCAACATGAGCTGGTACATTCCACTGCAATCAGTGAGTTTTTGTTGGATTTGCTACTTTAGGAACCCGCCTAGGGAAAGTTGCAGGGGGGAGCGGGGAAAATCTGTAATGAAGTGCTCCCAGTGCTGTGGACAGAGTTGGATGACGTACTTCAAACTTGGAAGTAAACTGTATATTGCTGAGATGGCCTTGAGCATAAGTATGACATTTTTATGACCTATATCTCACCAGCAAACAGAGAGAAAAAAGTGCAACATGTCGCAACTTGTTCTCAGAGTCCTCAGGCTCTTTCAGAGGTTTATTTTCCATGAGAGTGGTGCAAACTAAAAGTTTGCATTCTATCATTCTTACCATGACCTGAAGATAGGCTCTGGGTCTTTGTTGGGTGTTATGATCATAGGTGAAGAAAAAAACAACAATGATGAAAATATTTGCTAATATTTGTTTGTGCTTACCATACATAGCTGTCAGGCTCCTCACTTGAAACAAATGTTCAGCCACCAAGTTGTGGCTATTAGAGATAATTTAATGAAAGGAACTCTTTTCGGATGCATAAGCTTGGGGAACTAGTAAGGAATGGCAAACATGCAGGGACTAGCCATCTCTAGGTCTGAAAATGTACGTGGGAAAGAGTGCTGTCTTCCAAGCCTATTGAGAGGTAGGGCTGCAGAAGAAGGGAAGAGAGTTAAACAAAAGCTAGAACAACTGGACCCAGTCCTGGTGGAAGAACCAGAGGGAGGCAGATGGGAGAGAATGTTTTGTTTGAGTTGATTGTGTTAATGGGACACCCATAGTGATGCTTTTCAGGTCACTGGAACAAAAGTCCAGAACTCTTTGAAACACTTAGAGATGAAAGTATGGGGCTCATCATATTGAAGAGAGGAGATTGCTAAAGTCCCTGGAACAAGTAACAATATCTAGGGAGACAGAAAAGATGAGAACAGTGGCCAGAAATGTGGGCGGACAAGAAACACATGGGCACTAAGGATGAGCCGAGTCTCAGCAAAAGAGGCACCCAGGACCAAAGAATGGCAAAGAGAACAGCTTTGCCAGGAAAAGATGAGGAGAGAAAGAACATGTACTGAGCTCTTAGTCTGTATATTCTCCATGCTAAGCTAGCTCCTGTACTCCTACTACAATTCACAGGAAGGGAGTCATTCATATTTTGCTGTGGAAAGCAATTCAGTTGAGATAATTTAACTTTTAAAAATTGAAGAATGATGAATCCAGGTTTAGCTAAATCCACATTTAACTCCTACTGATTAGACTTTGTGCTCTGCAAATTAGGGGACAGATGAAGTGGGGTGAAAGCGGTGGGAGGAGAGTGGTGGACGGACTAAAGGATGTGGTCTCAGAGTACGTTTTCAGGGTGTAATTTCCTGCTGGGCACTGGTTCCAGAAGATGCCACTTCCCTTTGGAAATGCATGTTTGCACCTACAGAGATATGTATGGTAGACAGATTAATTTCCTAGAACCTGCCAGTGTGTTATCTGACATGGCAGAAGGGACCTTGTAGATAGGATTGAGGTAAAGATCTTGAGATAAGGATAATCCTACCTTATCTGGGTGGCTCCAATGTAATCACACAGGTTCTTATAAGAGAGGGACTGGAGGATCTGACTCAGAGTTGTTACAGTGGAAGTAGAGCTGGGAATTCAGTACTCCATTCACTTCTCTCCTGAACCGAGGAATACGAGCAATTTCTGGAAGCTGGAAAGACAAAGAAATAAATGGCTCCTCTGCTAGAGCCTCCATGAAGAATACAGGCCTGCTACTACCTTTAATTTAGGCCCCTAAGACCAATTTAGAATTCCTGACCTTCAGAATTATAAGATAATAAGTTTAGATTATTTTAAACTGTTAGGTTTGGGGTAATCTGTTGTGGCAGCAATAAGAACCTAATTCAACATGTGTTTCAGGGCACATGAGAAGTTTACCCATTTGGATAGCCACTCTATCTTCTTAGCAGTATCTCTAATTTCTTCCCCTAATGGTCCCAGAGGAAAATTTGCTCTTCCGTGCAGTTTTCCCCTCATGTACCAGGGACCCATGTCTGAGCAGCTAGCACCCCCTCATATTTTATTCCTCCTTATTTGTCTTGCTAATCCCTGTTCATTCTTACCCTTGTACATTAGGAGCCTCCCACTGAACAAGAACACCAGTCCCGTGCAGCCCAGTGGAGGCTGGCATCTGATTCTTCATAGTACCCTTGCTCTGGCAGGGGCATTCCATAGTGTCACTCAAGGTTTATAGTTCAGTGCTGTGTGGACCAGCTAGAGAGGCTGGCATGAGGTTGTCAAACGGCTAACAGCTAATATAGTCCCTCAGTTTTGGAGCATGACTTCTCTCTTAATGACTACAGACCAATACCTAATTTCCGACCTTTATAGTTTCCATGGCTGCCTGCCAGCTACAGAGCAACTTCACCTTCCAACTGGAGATAAATAACACACTTGAAATAGGGCATGCTGGAGAGCTCCAAAGCCAATCCAAGCGAGCAGAGCTTGCCATTCCACATGAGTCGTGGTGCACAGCGGTCAGGAGCCTGAGCAGCAGGATCCCATCCGTGTCAGTGTGACCTAAGGGGAGGAGGGGCTGACACCTTCTTCGTCTGCTCCCAGAGACACAGTTGCCACTTGATACAGCCAGATGTTTACACAGTCTTGCTCACTAATAATAGTGCAAGAGCCAAAATTTGGGAATAATTTACTGAAAAAAATCCATAGAGCAGAATCAAGAGCACCACTGTAGTAATTTTTTCCCAAAAAACACTTGCATTTAAAGCTGGCATTCCTGTATGGATGGCCACATTGGTTCTCTAGTGCTGCTGTAATACACTTCTACAAATTTGGTCTGTGGTGGTTACTTTTCTCTCATTGCTGAGACAAAATACCCAATGCTCAACATTAAGGAAGGAAAGGTTTATTTAGTTCACAGTTTGTGGAGGTTTCAGCCTGTAATCAGCTGGTTCCAAGGCAGAGTGGCACATGGCAGAGGGCAACAGTTCATGTCCAGGGGCAGGGGGAGCAGCAAAAGCAGCAAGAGCAGAAGGGGGGAGGAGCAAGCCTCTTTTCCTTCCTTACACTGTATATCTGCTGTCCGCCCATGCCCACACCATCTCCATGCCCTTCTCTTGCACGGGCTCCGGATGAATACAAACTGAGGACTCTGGCCTCCTGCTGAATCACACAGTTAACCTTCTAAACTTCTCCAGTTGACACAATGAACAACCTCCCAGGGCATAAGGGCATTTCCTTTTCACCCCAGGATGCAGAACTGCTGATTCACTTAGTTAGGCATCTAGACTCCTCAAGTTGACACAATGTGTCAAACATAACATGGCAGTTTGGTTTAAAATAACAAAATTTATTTTCTTAGAGTTCTCGAGACCAGTAGTTCAAAATGAAGGTATTAGCAGTGCCATTCTTTCTCTGTAAAGCTTCTAAGGATGGATCCTTTCTTGCCTCCTCCAGATTCTAGGAGTGGCAGACATTTCTGGCTTGTGTTTGCGTCACTTCAATTTCTACCCCTCCTTACCTTCCTTCTCCTATATTCCCCGTGTGTCTGCTCCTGGTCTCTTCTGTGCATGCCTGTCTTTGTAGCTTGTCTCTTGGATCAGGACCCACCTAAATGAATGCCTTTTAGGAACCTGATTATCTCTGTGAAAGACTCAAGTCTTGGTCTTCTCGGTTGTTATAACCAAACACCATAGGCTGAGGAGATTCAACAGTATAGATTTATTTTTCACAGTTCTGAAGGCTGAAAATAAAGATCAAAGTTTGACAGATTTAGTTCCTGTTGAGTACTCTTTCCTTCCTGCTATGTCCTTATATAGTGAAAATAGAGATCTTATATAACACCCTCTTCCTTTTGTTTTAAAGCCTGAGTACTATAGGATTGAAGCTCCACCTTTATGGCTTCATTTAACTGTAATCACCTTTTAGATCTTAATTTCCAGATCCATATGCATTATATGAAAGGGAGAGACCCAATTCAGTCCATTAAAACCTATTTCCAAATAAGGTCATATTTATAGGTTCCAGAGGTTTGGATCTACACTTATCTCTTGGGGACCCAATCATGGCAAGAGGCCACTAAAGTGAGGGTTCTGGGATGGGCACTGTCTGCTAGAGGGCGACTCTGCTGGAGAACTCCTGTCTGTGAGTACACTGGTGGGGGCCACTGAGAACAGAGACTCTTCCTCCAGTCTCTGCAAGGATCCTGAAGCTGGATGAACCTCTGAGCAGAAAGGCAGCTGTAGCTAGCCGAGCATGGGAAGGGGGTTACCCTCTCTGCCTACACTTCCCACACTGCTCAGGATGGATCCCGGCTGGCCCTGGGAGCCCAGGCTACAACAGCCCTCAGTGGGGCTGGGAGAGGTAGATCTCACCATGTGGACTCAAGCTGCCGCCTCTGGCCTGCGGCACTGGGGGCTTTCACACCTCTTTCTTCTGCTGCTCAGATACCTTCCACATGCTGTACACATGGGGGGCCTGCACCGTTTCCTTCTGTTTTCCTACACTGATTGGTTACACATGCTCCCTACGTGTGGGTCTGAGCTGTCTAAGCATCTGACACACCCGCAGCCCATCTGCATGGGCTTGGCAAGGGCGGAGACTTGGAAGTCACACACTCCAGGACTACACTGGCTCAGAGAGACCAGAATGGTTCCCTGCTCCCAAGCAGGAAGTGCCCTTCATTGGGAACCCTGCTTTCCTTAGGGATATGACTGTCATATGCCTCAGAGTTAGGAAGATGTTCTTTATAGTCTTAGGACTTACATGATGTTGGGCAAGTTGCTTAAAGTCCCCATGTCTCACCTTTCACACCTGTAAAATGGGCTAATACCAGAAGCTAGCACAAAGAATGACTATTAGGACCAAATGAGACAATGGAGTTAATGTGCTTTGTGTATCACATCTATGGTGGTTCCATTAATTGTCCCATAATGAACAATCATGTTTTACACGCGTGCCTAGTGATATGTGTTCACCCAAAAAAGCACTTTGCTGAGCACCCAGGGCAAAAGCAAAGCAAGGAGAGGGAGGCCTTATCCATTTTGCTTGAGGCCCAGCTGCACAGTTCCTCACATCTCTCTTACCCACCAGTCTGCTTCCTTAGCTGGGGCAGTGAGAGGCAAACATCAGATGTTCAGGGCGTGTCGAGTTCCTCCACCACCCAGGCAGCACCATCCTGGGTTGATTTAGGGAAGGTCTTTAACGTGGCCTCCAAGATCTCTAAACTCTTTACAGGGCAGATTCATTTGTGTCTCTGTTCTCATCCCTCTTTTAACTCCAAGCTTGAGTTTTATTCATTTCCCCAGACTTGCCAACTTAGCTTTGAGATGGGGAAGGAAGCTTTGACTGATGTGAGCTACAAACAGTGTACAAGGAATCGACTACGACTTGATTATTGAAGCCAGCTGGGCCCAAACTTAGTGCTAATAGAACACAGAGCAGAATCCTTACCTAGTAACTCAGTGTCATTGTGGTGTTAGAAGTATCCCTATTACCAACCATTCAGAAGAAAGCTTATACGTTGAAGAAAAGTGTGTTCCTTGATTTGCTTCTGCTAGATGAGGAAACTAATGTTCATGGAGTGTTAATGACATTGAAGTTAATAAAATGGGAACTTGAAGCTAGCATTTACCTATATGAATTCGACAATTTCACCTTTTATCTAAACCTCCACTTGTTGACCTGGGGAGGCAATATATCTTCTTTGAGGTCATTGCACAGGTGAATTTAGGAAGCATCTATAAACCACAGAGCTTGGTATATTGTAGACAGTCTCACCTAAATCACTGAGAACAGCACTGACACTGTAGAACAGATACCGAGTAAATTCCCTGTCCTTTATAACCCCATGACCTGCACAGGTGTCAGCACATTTCTTTTTTCTGTCAAGGACCAGATAACTTGTGTTTTTTACTTTGCAAAACTCATGGACTCTTGCAACTATTGACTTCTGCCACTGTGGTCCCAAAGCAACTATAGATCATACATAATGAATAACCTGACTGTGTTCCAATAAAACTTTTTTATATATAAAAACAGAGACTGGGCCCAAACAGATGCTTTGACCCATGGTCTATAGTCTAATGGCTCTTGACTAGAATAAAAAACTTGATATGATGGCATAAACGACAAGCTCTAGCAAGTAAAGCATACTCATCCTTTAATATTTTAGTTTCAGCCCTTCTTTGTGGAAATTTCTCTCCCTAATGATGCTTGGATGTCTTGAGGCTCCCATGAACTCTGCTGTTTGGCCATGTGACATGACACTCACCCTCTCACTGTGCGGAGAAGGCAAGACATTTCCTGGTGGTCTGTGAGCTTCTAGAAGTCAGTGGCTATGGCTTTTCATTTTTCACAAATGTTTTTAAAATGAACAATAATACTGCTCATGTCCCCAGATGATAAAAAAAATAAAATGCTTAAACTACATTTGGAGGAATGTAGCCTAATCAGTGATTCTCAACCAGGGGTGATTGTTACCTCCAGGGAACATTTGGCAATGATTGGAAATAGTTAAAGGTTTCAGACCTAGGGCTGCTATTGGCATTTATAGGGCAGAGAATCAGAGGTGTTGCTAAACAGCCCATAATGCACAGGACACCTCCTGCCAGGAGAGAATTATCTGGCCCCAGCTACAACTGTGCTTATGTTGAGGAACCATGAACTAGTAAAAACAAAGCGTTTTATAGGCTAATCATGTAAATCGCTGGAGTTTGCAATTGGTACAGTGTGACCTACTCTGTTGCCTCAGAGGAATGGCAGGAGAATTAAATGAGCGGGTGCAAGTAAAGACAGTCTGCATTAACAGTTGTTCACTGTGCAAAAGTGAAGTCTTTACTGCTTGGAAAATAATCCCAGAGGACCTAAATCATGCAGGCGAACTCTGGAAAGTGCTTCCATTCATCCTGCCCCAATACCCCATTCAGTTTAAGCCTCTCTTTCCCACCACTCTCTTCTCAGTAGGAAGAGGAGTGTCTTTGGCCACCTGGCAAATGTGGGGGAGCTGCCTAGCCACACCTCAGTCTCCTTGTCTTTAGGGAAAATTATCAAATTCCTTTCTGCTTTTCCCTTACATCCTATTTTTGAAGCCTTTAAAGACTCCCCTGTAGATTTTCTCATTTGCCCTATATGCCTCCCATGCTCCAGTCAATCTCCTACTTGGACAGAATAACCCAACCATTTCTGCAGACCATCATGGTTCTTCCTGCATGTTCATAATATGTGTGACTTCAGCGATAGTTTGTTTATCTGTTGACTTTGATCCACTTCCCTCCTTAATGTGGTGAGCAAGAAAAGTGAAAGTATACAGGGGTGGTTGTTTGGGGGGATTGCTCTAAAACATCCAGCTAATGGTACAATTTCTGTTGAGTATCCACCCATCTAAAGACATTATGTGGGACACAGATATCAGTTTCTATTTTTTGGTCACCTTGAGTTGAATTATGTCCGCTATCTCACCTCAAAAAAAACAAAAAAAAACTAGTATTGGAGACCTAACCCTTAGAAATTCAGTATGAGTTTATTGAATGGGGTCTTTATAGAGATCATCAAGTTAAAGTGATTTCCTGGTATAAATTCCAATTCAAAATGATGAATGTCTTTATAAAAAGGAAAAATTTGGGCAGACATGCATGAGGGAAAGATGGACAATCTTAAAACACAGGGAGAAGAAGGCCATTTCCAAGCCAAGGATGCATGAGGCTACCAGATGTCAGGAGGAAAGAGAATTGGGTCAGATTCTTCCCTCAGGTCATTAGCGGGAGCTTGATTTTGTCACACTTCTATCTTCCAGAAATGTGATGCAATAAGTTACCTGGCTTGGGATGATGTATTAAAGCAGCCCTGAGAAACTAGTATGGTCACTGCTGCACCAGCTGAGTTTCACGATCCTCTTGGAACATTTCTGCCAAGGACTGTTGACCATCATTCTTCCTTTGAACAGATGTCATGTGTGGCCCACCCATTTCCTTGTGTTCTGTCTCAGAGGTTACCTGCCCCCTGCTCACACCTTATTGTCTCTCCTGAGTGACCCTGGACACAAACCCACATACAGAACTGATAGGATCCCCATAATTTCCAGAGTGACCTTCAATAATGAGTGGCTGTAACAGTGAATAAGTACATTATTGTCTTTGCCTCTGAAAGGATCATGTACGTTTTGTTTATTAAAACTGTTCAGGGACCCTAGCAGGGTCTGAAACTACATCCTATTATAATGAAACCAACTAATTGAGATATTTCTTCTTCGCTTTCCACCTCACCTTCTTTTCCACTTCCCTACTCTTTTACAATGTTTACTGAAATCACCTCCCTAATAAAATGCTTGTGCCAAATCTTCTCTCTTCAGATCTGTTCAGAGCAACTCAAACTGTGGCACCTGCATTGGGAATATAGATGCTTGGAGTTGGTATTGAACAGCTAGCACCATTCTCATAGCCAAAATCAAGGGACAGGTAAAACAGTTCGGTGCCTGGAGTCCAAAAAAGAGTCACTTATATATCAACCAGAGGTTGGCTTAGAAGTCAAAGTCCAAATGGTTTCAGACAATTGAAAGACATAGAGGTCCTGATCATGGCTACGTCTGAGCATGAATGGTTCAACATTGCTGCAGGTTAGGCAGGAAGCCATTCTCATGTTTGACCATGAGCAACCCATGTGCCAGACCTGAGGCAAGGAGTGATGGGCACAGAAGGAGATAAGACACATTCTCTAAACTTGAGGAGCTCACCTTATTGTAAGAAG